CCCCCCGGCAAATACATAAATATATACAATCTTTACTGAGCCTATAATAGCTTCATCAGTTTTATTGTCTCCTTAAAAAGTAGCCTTCTGAAACAAGTTATCTAAGCAAAGGATGAAATAGATAACAATTTAGCAATTAATATTGGAGAAAGATAGTGATTAAAGTAACCATACATGAGATTGTTTCTTATTGGAAGCACAAGAAGAATCGAAAATTATATCGATATATAAAATTGCATCTTATATTGTCAAACAATCTAACGTACTAACATTTCTATAATGCATCACACGCATATATTAATTTCTTTTTTCTTTTAGAAAATGAAATTATATCACATATATAGTATACATATGTTATAAAATTGCGAATTAAATGTGCAATGGGGTTTGTATGAAATGGGAGGTAGGACCCAAACAGTGCTTATACAGGTCCAGATAATCCAAAACTCCCCGACTGTTTATTCTAGCTCATTCATTCCCCCAGTCAAAAAGTTTCTTCTATCTTTGTTGGCCTAAAAAGACATAGAAAGCCACCAAATAATTTGAACACAAAGCACTCTGCATTGCTAGAAAAGGAGCGTTTGAATGGGATGAGGAATATCTACGATTACTTAGAAAACACCCTAACCCATTCTTTTCTCTCTCTCTCTCTCTCTCTCTCCCAGACACTGGTACTAACGGTTAACCTGGTTTAAAGAAAAGAAAAGAAAAGCCATGGCCATAACTGTTCTGCTACTTGTTAATGTGTGTATGGACGCCATGAGATTTGTGTCAAAGTGATTTATTAGGGTCGTGTATCTTTTCTCTTCTTTCACCATCAAGTGCTTTGATATGTTATGGGAACACAATGCATTAGAGAGCTGTAATATTTAATTTATTTATTTTCTTGTTCTAGCTCTTCTCTCTCTTGCTTAAAGTAAAGCACTCTCTCATAAAGCCACATTAAAAGTAAAATATGGCATTATCTACTCAAAAGGGCCGCTCTTTTTATGCTTTTAAGCTTCAAATAAGAGCATCTTTGGCCTATACGTGGCCATGTGGGCGAAAGCAATATCCAAGAGAGAGAGAGAGAGAGAGAGAAGAGAGCAGCAAAAAACCATAGATCTAGAGCGAGAGAGAGAGAATGGTAGAAAGAAAATGGTGAATAATAAAAAAATATATATAGAGAGCAATAGGGAGGCCCTGGCCGGCCAGTCGACTTTAAAGGTTAGAAATGAGAAAAAGTTGCTCTAATTTTGACATGACAGCCTTGTTAATGTAAAGGTGATGGGAATTACGTACCACACACTCCTTTTCCCAAAAGTTTTCATTACTTTTATGCTATTGCTATCTAAATTGCTCTAATTAATTATTAACTTATATCTTCTAATATAATCTTTCATTCATTATTTACACTTCAAAAGGCGGCATCATATTATTCAATATTCCCCAATCACCACACTAGATAATATAACTACATGTATATATAATCAACACTCGTGCTTCAATTTGCAGATATTTTTGTACCTGTACGTACTTCAGCTGCAGCTTGTTCATCAGTTTTTTTTTTCTTTTTCTTTTTTTAAATCTGTGAAAGAGCAAGGAAGGAAGGACCGCACTGAAGTGCAGCATTCAAAGAGAAACTAGCTTTTGCTGCACTTGAATTTGCACCAGATAAGTGGTGGCCAGTCGAGTTCTCTGATCATCGAAAGCACGGCTTTTCCTGCATTTGATTTGAACCAAACATACATTTTTGGTTTTTGCTATGCTATACTGGAGCTGTAACCATCTCGACTGTACCAAGCCTTTTATGCATTTCAAGCGTGCAAAGTTAAATTAATTAACCCTTTATTATACGGCGGGTTTATATATTTTCGAGACGAAAATTAATTAACTCATCAAAGGTGTGGAGAATAGAAGCACTTTTAGTCGTTCTAAAAGCACCGTATGCTGAGATTAATCTGAGGTGTTGCTACTAGAAAGAGCATTGAAATTCAATAGAACAAACTCAGTCAATGAGTCTGTATGTCCAATATAAAACATTTCTACCTCAGTATTATTGACAAATAAGAATACGAAGCCCTTAATTGCTAGCGCATTTAGAGATCAGTGGTCTGTTATTATAAACAACTATATATTGTGAACAGCACCCTTAAATGTGACGACAACAAAATTTGGAAGAAAAAAACAGAGGGAAAGCCGAAAACAACTAAATTGAGAATGTTGGCAAGCTAACTTACAACCCCTCAAATAAAAACTTCACTCATCTTGGCTCTCTGTCTCCGATAAATTTCCAAGATAACTATCCTGCAGTAGAGGAGCAAGTATGCTCTCAACAGAGGATCTCTGCTTCCTAATTTCCTCGAGTATTGACAATCGGGCTGCTTCGCAAGCTTTGGCATTTGAGAAACCAAGTGTCCATCTCCCATCAGCCACATGATTGGACATCCCTGATGATTGATGGCCTCTAACTTTAATTTTATGGAGTTTTGGTTCAAACTCTCTTATCTGAAGATGCAACCATGTCGGATGGTCCTCATCTACCTTTGGCTGTTTCAAGTGAGAAACCAAATTAAATTTGTAAAATAATAAGGACCAGAATCAAAGCAATTTTGAGTTCCTTCGGGCCTGTATTATGAACAAGTCTTCAATAAATAATTGGACACTGATCTAGCATCCGCCTAGAACACTGGTCCTAACCATACACAATTCATCAAATATGAGTATCATATTACTAAATCAGATTCATTGGCCAGTTGTGCTACTAAAATAAAAAAATTATGAGTTGATATAGCCAAACTTGGCCAGGCATAGAAGCAAATATATACCAATTGTTTCACTTACATTCAATCCAGCCAATGGTCCAATAGCAAGTACTACTCCTCGTTGACTACGGAAAGGATGCTTCTCTGCAAGCAGCACTTTTCCAGTAGTTTCCCTTGCCTTAGGTATCAGGTAGATATCCCTGATTCCAGCATTGGAAAATGCAATTGTACATGGAATTCCCGATCCTGCAAAATGTTGCAGGTAGTGAAATAATTTAAAAAACAGAGAGAGAGAGCCTGGATAATATTCAACTTTTACAGAAGAATACCCACCTAAAGAAACCTCTGACCCAAAGCTTGCAGATGCAATGTCTGAAGCATGCGTTTTACTAGAATCAGCAATTGCGCTGCTCATATTCAGCAAGAGTTCTTGAAGCAATTCTCCATTGAAAATACATGATTTAAGCTGAAGATGGAGAATGAATACCTACATGCATTCAAAATACATGCGCTCACTATGAAGTCTAAGAAAATAATGCATGATAATTCTAGAGTAACATGCAGAACACAATGTATGACTCATAAGATAGTGTACCCATGACTTTAACAGAGAAGTTAGTACGAGCATAAATGGCAACAGAGGCATGCTTTGACAAGTATCAAATCCAAACACATCAACCCAGTTCACTATTATACACTGAACTCAGTCGAATCTACTACTCTTAATGGATACTGAACTCACTCCATTTTTCTACATGTTCTGCATAATTATGGATACCAAAACTCCCGCAACATAACATTCCATTCTGGCAATTTTCTTTTACTTTTCTTGGGCATTGGGCATTTGGCAAGAGTTGATTTTGACACCACATTCTACGTTGGAAGCTGATACTAAAGCATGCAATAGCTCATAACCTAAGACTAGCAAGGCATGTTAGACCGTTATGGACACCAACACTCCACCAAAGTAACATTCATCTTGGAAAGATTACTACATCAAACTCAGATGTTGGAGATTGAAATTAATTTCAGTGTTAAACAGCTTATAACCGACCAGCAAGGCATCCTCTCTACAACATAAATTTTGAATCTGAACAATCATTGGACAATGAATGAGGATTACCTTCACAGTTTCAACCATCCTTTTCCAAGCAAAGTATGAAGTTGCATCACCTGCAATATGCATATAATATTTAATTCTCTATCAGGTAACCAAATACTTTATGAAGCGTCACCATAGGAAAAATACAATCCTACAAAGAAAAGGCTTAATCAATAAATAAATAAAACCAATTTTATACCGTCAGTAGCTTGTTGGCTATCATCAAGCTCTAGAACAAAAAAAGGATCTTTGCATTGTGATGATTCCTCAAGAGCTGTTTGCAGCACCAAAATAGATTAACTGAATATTGAATAAATCATGGATTTTCCTTTCCAGGGAGAAGCTGGTGCCAATATAAGAATATAAAATACTTATTGACACATCCTAACAACAAAAACTTTTAGGAATAGTGATAAAGCACCTAAACTTCACATGATATTACTTGAGTTTAAATCCGGCAATTTCAACCTCTGAATTTGTATGATTTCCACATGTTGGGCTCTCCAATTGTGGGAGAACCCATACATGAGAGAGATTGGTTAAGAGTATAAACTGAATTTTGGCTTACCACAAAAACTTATTGTGGAATAAGAGCATGGGATCTTGAGTTCTAATCCTTGCGATTGCAACCTCATAATTTCTATCAAAATCCCTTTGACCCACGCATTAGGAGGGGTGAGATGTTAAAATATAAAGTAATGTTAGTCTACATCCTAAAAGTTTAACCTGTTTTAATTTTCTGGTTACAATCTAAGGGAATCAAACCCTTGACCTAGTCTAATCCTAACCCATTTCCCCCATCCACCTTCTTGGGCTAACCCTAAGGACTTTGACACCTTAACTTTTTGGAAACAATGATATTAAGCTACCACCATACCTAAAAGAAACCATAGAGCATATACTAACTACCTCTAAAAGTGCATACTCAATGCATAAACATAACATGAACCAACTGAGCCTCCAGCCACCCCCTGGCGGACAAAAAAAAATGTACCTTCTTTACAATTTGGCCATTCATTTCTTAACACCTCAGGGATATGATCAAACCAGCATCCATCAAGTTCTTTCTGAAGGCATTCACGGGATTGCTGATATGAGGTCTGTCCACAAAAACTAGAAAATATAAAACTTTAGAAAGTATGAGACAGTTATACAATGTATCACACAAAAGATCATATGGAAAAATAAACGTGCACTTCAGAGCTGGCTTGTTACTCTTGCCTCAGAAATGTCAGATAGTGTGCTTCAAACTCTTTAGCAACACAAAGATAGTTTTCGTCATGATATGTCTTCTAACTGTTCCTACAGCAATTATGAATGTTTGACCAAAAGACTTATTTAGCCATAACCCAATCTTCACCATCTACCACACTTTCTACTTCAAAACCTACATAAAAAATCCCTCCATACAGTGTGGTCTACCAAAGCTACGCCCTGGGAGGGGTGATGTATTACTAGTCCTTCTCGAGGATTTTCACAAATATCCATCATTATTCTCCTCTGGCTGGAGAAATCTCAACCTCAAGTTTTGTAATGTTGAAGTATTAGCAACTTTAGACTTGGAGCTTCAACAAATTGCTCCTTGAGAAAATAAAATATGGACAAAGTAAACTTCCTAAAAAGATACAAGTGTTCTTCCATCCATCACTACAATCATTGATGGAAGCTGAAAAGAAGAACCGAAAGTTCTAATAGAACACACACCATTAATGGTTTTCAGTCTTACCAAGAAGAAACGGAAGACTATGAAGGTAGGGAGAATTTGGGAAAATCATAACCAAACAAGAATGATTATCCATTTCTTTCTGGTATGCATTTCTGATGCCAGTTCACTTTGATAATGTAATTCAATAAGAGATGCACATATAGAATAAATTCTACCAAATCAGTTAAATCCTTACATTGAATAGCTCGAAATTATGACCACCAAGCCCTTTTCCTTGTAAAATCAATAGCTTCCGCAAGAACCACCCTGTATGCCATTGTATTAGTATAGAGAAAGGTGGTTGACTTGCTAAAACCTTCAATAATGCATTTAAAATCTGTAAAATGAAAATTCAGTTCATCACGACACTGAAAGCCAAACTGAATTAGGATGCATAGGGTCAAATTTTAAACAATAAAATTTTATGACCAAAATGACTGATAGATGGAGATATGTTATTTGTGCAAACAACAGGTGGAAAAGAATTCTCAAAGAGTCCCTATACCTGATCCATGTATTTCACTAGAAGATTTCCAATATTTCCATCCACTGCCTGTGAAAATATAAAATGAAAATTTGTAAATACATTTACAAACTCAAGACGGTGGAAGAAAGTATCATGAATCTTCAAAAATCCATATACAAGACTAGAAAACCCAGAACATTCAAAAGATTCCAAGTGATATATAAATTAAATATGAGAGATGGTTGTAAAATAAGAGGCGTAGCCTCAAGGCACAGATAAACATAAATGTTGTGTAGTTTTCTACTTGAATAAAATATTTTTCATGTAACCTCAAGAAAGGAAAGGATGAAATATTACTCTCTTCATAATGTTATTAGTATTCAAAACACTATTATATTATCTACCATAAATTGATCTCCAGAGAGAAAAATACCTAAGGATACAAAAAAAGCTAACAGCAATGAAATCACCATATATGCATCATAATATTAATGGTAATAAATTCAATGGCTAATTATTTTACAACCACCTGATATAATCGCACAAACAACTGAAGCACGGTTAAGAACCAAAAAAAAATCATAAAGGTAATATGGTAACTAGTTTTTATTAGTAAAAACTACTCACTTATTACCAGCTGCACAGATGATTTGATAGTTAGGAAACCCTTGACAGAAAATATAAGTTCGTATATAAAAAAAAATTGAAGTTTAATACTCACAATCATATTTTGCATTCCATTTAAGCCAATCATTTGAGCTAGTAAAGGATGAAGATCTGCATTAATGCAAAGACAAATCAAAGATATGAATGAACAACACCGGGACATAGAAAATACTCATTTTTTTTTAAAAGGCTATATAGACTGTTGCATTGAAGTTATATCTCAAACCTATACAACAGCCCACTCTAAGTTAGTACCTTTTGCTTCTGCTAAAATAAATAATAAGAATAGTGATGCTAGTGATAGACTAGGATTGTCAGAGAAAACATGAGCTAGTATTCCACTCCTGCACCAAGAAAAAAATTCATAATAAGTTAGAATGCCTGTAGTTCATAATTCTCATCATTTTATAATAAAAACATTAATTAACCTGTAAAAGTAGTTTATTTAGAAGTGAATAGATCCTAATCACTTTACTTTCCTAACAGTAAGATACAGTTGCATGAGCGGAAAACAATAAACACACCAAAACTAAAATTTAAGAAAGAAACTAAGCTCTCTTTCTCTCCTTTTTTTTCTTTCTTTTTTTCTTTTGAGAGAGTTATAAGAATGAAATGAAATGGAGAAACATAACAACCTTTTATTAGAGACAGTATCTCTAGGGAGGCTACTGTTTTCTGCTCTTTCAGTCTCAGGACTATACGATACTACTTTTCCCATTTCACTCAATATAGATTTAGCATGACTAATGCTCTCAGTTGAGTCCCTTTCAATAGCATCTCTCACACTTGATGTCATATAAGGATATAAAATAACTCCAGCGACAGAGTTGAACATGCCTTTTCCACCAATAACTTGAAGAAGACGAGAAACAGTATAGAAAGACGTGACTGCAGATAGATTTGAGCCCTGGAGATTACATAAAATGCGGAATCAATACAGCATATAGGAAAAGTATATCATCATGAATTCGATCTACAACTAATGCACCTAACATGATTGAGTTGGCACTGGCTCGATCATTTTTCTTCATCATGTTTTTACTATTTTTTGTATGTTAAGTGGTTTCTACCTTTCTGTTTTTTATTATCTGTTGATCATTATACAATCATATATAACTATATTCTTTTTAATCAAACCCAGAGCTGAATGGGATTAATCTACGTAATTCTAAATATAATTGGACTACAGATAAAATCTTTAAAATTGGATACAAATTTAAATGATCATCTTTAGGTAAGGTAACAAAACATTAATCTGGCAAAAACCAGAATGGGATCAGATCTTTGATCCAACCCATTGGCAGTTGTGAGCAAGCTGTGGAACTTACTGTACTTCAACAGATGATAAAAATTAATCCAATCAATAACATCAAAGTCTTAAAAAGAAAAAAGAAATATATGATTGTATAATGATCAACAGATTCAATCTTAAAAAGACTAATGCACCATACAGCTAGACGTCATAAATAAAATTCCTTTTTCAAATTTTGTGCTCTTCCACCAGATCCAGTTTAGCTAAGAGTTTCAAAGTGGAAGTTTCTATTATATGAGTTATCATATAATGTACCACTTAAAAATTAAGGCACCAATGAAAACCTCATATATAATATCAGATATTATATTATATAGTACTAATACATATTTACATATAAAACATAAAAATTCAGGTTTTTGGTAATAATCAGTCAGTAATCAGTAAATGTGATTTCCAGTTTTGATTTGTTACAAGTGGTTGCCAAAACCTAGAAATAGTCAGTTGAAGATCAATTGATCTAGTAAAAACCAAACCAAAACACAGCCCCATACCAATCATGCATTATGAAAATCAACCAACCATATTGGATTGCTCCTATAAGATAAACCACACCATCCAAATTTAATGTGCACTTACTCAATTCTAAATTTTCCAAAAGGAAATATCTACCAACAAAAAGTATTATTCTTTCTCATGAAGTAGATAAGAATAAAAATGAAGCAGATAAGAGAAAGAACATCTCACATTGCTCTGCCCTAACTGCAGTAATGGGAGTAATATGGGAAAGATTAATATTCTGAGAAGATTTTCAATGACTACTGTACTCAAACAAGACTGGCCAACTCCAAGCATGTCGTTGAAGTAATACAGATCATCGACAATCTTATCAGTTTCCAAAAGTAGTTCTTTTCTCTTTTGATTTGTACGCATCCTGCATCAATACTTAATAGTTCAGCCTTAATTTGCATACCACTACCAGAATCTTTTTAAAACAAATTGAAAGATACATACTCTGTAGCATGGACAAGAGCATCTAGATGAAAAAATTGATTGCTTAAGCTTGAAACCAAGTCTGAAAAATACTTCGAGACCGGAGGAGTTGTTATATATTGATAAACCATATCATCACTAACTGCAGAACCAAAAACAAAAAACTGTACTATATTACCAAAAATGTAATTGCAACCCAAAATTTGCTACATCTCTTCTATTAGCAGCTTCAAAAAATAGTAATAACTAATAACATGTTACCATTATATATACTGAGAGTTAGTGCACGGATAGCTGTCTGAATCATCTTTTCCCCATGGTGGGCAAATTTGAGAGCCTCATCATACAGGGGAAACGAGACTACAGAATCCTGCAATTGAAGGGATACAGAGAAATAAAAATTTATTAGGGGCCATGTTGATCAGCCATGTACATTTAATAAAATTCCCATGCTTTCCCAGTGCCATAAACAGTACTGCAACGCAAAAGTTGTGAGCATCCTTTAGTTATTGAAAAAAGATTGAAATAGTGGCTGTCTTTTCGTGCAACTCATTAATGCTTCTTCCCCTTTTCGAAAGAACTTAAATTTTTTTATTTTTTTATTTTTTGTTTTGTTTAAAACTACTCAAGCCTAGATGATGAAAAGAACGCAAAACATGCCTCCAACAGATGAATGGCTTTAAAGGTCTCCACACAAGACAATGAGAAATGATAACAATGATTGGACCAAGCCTTGATGGCCCTGCTTGAAATCCCTTGGAGAATAAAAACAGGAGAACATGGAACACATGAAATACCAAACACTTACAGTTATCCCTTCTTAAATAGTAGGATCGCATTTAAAGTGTACTTTTAAATAACCTTTTTACATTTATCACCATTGATATGCAGGTTACTATTACGACTGAAAACGCATAAATCATGAATGGTGAGTAAAACTTACGCAATGAGCTTTAACTTACCCCATAGACCTTCAGAAGAAGGCAAACTGTGTCTTTGTTTAATTTATTGCTCACTGCTCTGATAAGAGAGAGACAGAGGGATCAGAAAAGTATAAACTTGACAAGTAATGAAAAAATCAAGCTAAAACTGCATCAAGGATAAAAACTCAAACCAGTTCAATTATTTTAGCAAATAACAGTTAAAGATGTTAGGTCTTATATGTATGTGTGTGTGTGGGTATAAAGAGAGACAGACAGACAGGGAGAGAGAGAGAGAAAGAGACCTCAAAAAAGATACATAATATAAGGCTATATCTCCTCCAAATTCAAACTTATGTCCTATAATGTTGTTGATATAGTCATTGCTAAAACAATAGTCTGCATCAGAAACCATCAAAACGTCACCAATAAGTACAAGCAATAAGAATAACCAAATGACATAAGGTAAAAAAAAAGACAAATAACTGATTTTCCAACATGATTGCAGATACCAAAATCTTCTGTAACTAAACATTGAAGGAGTAATGCATTTAGCATCTTACAAATTGAATGGTCACTGTTCATGTTTTGAATCATTATACTTAGATACTGAAGCAACGGTGCCTCAATTCTTGAATTTTTACTGATCTTTAGCACACGAACAAATTCTGCTAAAACTTGGTACTCCATAAAATATCTGCACATAAGTTATAAATAACAATTAGAATACCAACAAGAAAATGGAGAGCATACCCATAGAGAAGGTTTACCATGAAAAACAGTTCATACTCGAAAATCAGTGGGTCTTGTCTATCACCATAGGTAACTAGCTCCACTATGGACTGTAGTAAATCAATGACTAATTCCTGGTAGAGAGTTGGAGGGGGGGAGAGAGAGAGACATATTAATTAAAGTAAAAATATAATATAATAAAAGGTTGCTGGTTTACAAAATCAAATTAAAAGAAATTATAGAAAAGTCAAACAAATTACCCTGTTATGCCAGTCCACAACTTTGATCTGCCGCAGTTCATTGATTACGTATCTATATCCATAACAAGATTTTTTTTTTAAAGTATTACTAATAAATGATGATGATGATGATGCCAATCAAAGGAAATTGTGTGTGCATGCTTTGCATAAGACTTCTCTACCCTCTCGTTCCCTCTCGTATACATCTCTACTTGTTCTTCCTTTTTCTTCCAAAAGTACAAGCAACTCCATACTGCTTGGTTAATGCACAACAAACCTACCAATGATACACTATCCTCCTATGAAAAAAAATTCATTCTACGGTTCGGTCCAATATAGACATTTCCACTTTATTTCCAAAAATCAGGTTTCGAAATCGGTAAGTGGACGAGCAACTAAAATTCAACTACCACCCTTTATACCCTCAAATGTAAATTAAATTACACTTTCAGAATAGCTCCATTTGCCCGCCATGTTGTTCAGGTCCTCCATTCCCCAGCCCAACAAGCCATTCGCTCAGCACATTTAGGGAAATTGAGGGAAAAACACCATGGAGAATTAATTCAGTGAGCATTGTTCAACTGAAAGAGGCCAAATTAGACCATTTCTGTTGCATTTGCTCAATTTTACTTACAATTGCTTAGTTTAAAAGGAGAACTGGTATAAAAATTCATGTAAAACCCTAACTGATGAGAAATGGAGAGGAAGGAGGAAGCTTACTTGAAGTACTGGAGAGAGAAGCGGTCGATGGAGCGCCACAGAGAGCGCCACATGGCGGTGATGGTGATGGCGTTGAGCGAACAGAAGCGGAGGTAGAAGACTAACTCGAAGAGCGTTCGTTGTGCCTTGTGTCTTTTGGTACGAATTGAAGGAAGGAAGGAAGGAAGGAGAAGGCGTTTTTTTCTGGTTGCTTTGGCTGTTTGGTGGATTGGCGGATTGATTTTTGTGCCAACTACCTGTCAACGTTCCTTCCTGGAAAGTCTACAACTGTAAGCTAAAAAGAGTATACGTGTCCTCAACGCAACGCACCGAGGAGTTTATTATGTCTACTCACTACGAATTGATTCAAATATAATTTGTATCCGGTGAAATATTCAAAATAACATTAAGAATTAAAATTATTAATTAAATAAAGATAATATGATAAATTCATACTTTTTTATTTTAGAAAATTTTAAAATTAAAAGAAAAATTAGATAATGAATTCTCTTTTTATGGAACACAACTACCCATTATCTTTTTTAATTCTAAAATATATATTTTTTTTTTAAACATCTTACAGCGTGAAAGTACGTGTAAAGAGGCTAATAAGTTATTAAATGATTTGATAATACCACGTGGATGCTCTCTATGAATAAAGAATAAAATTTTTACTAAAATAGTTTTGTCAAAGTCCCATTTTGGTTCTCCAACTTTTTTTTTTTTTTTGGTCAAATTAACAAATAAAATTGTCAATCTAGGAACTAATCTCCTCTCAAACAATCAACCAAGCACTACAACAAACATTTTCCTCCATAAGCCGTTACTTTATGTGTAAGACCCGTGTCTTGGGAAAACAAGAACGGTGAGCAATCCCAAATCGCTCGGGAAGGGAAAGGTGAAGTGCTTAAATGTGTGGGCTAGGGGTGGGCACGGTATGAGATGACACGGGATGGAGGTCATCCCGGTGTCAATCCCGAATAGAGGAATCGGTATGGGATGACACGAGATGGGAGTTTTTGAAAACACGTTCAAATCATACCGGACCCAAACGGGATCGGTATGATTCGGTATCAATGTTGATACCGTAAAAAATCTGCACATTTTCAAGTTCAATCAAATCTGAAAATCAAATGGCTGTTACAAGAGTTCAATCAAATCTGCAAATTTTCAAGTTCAATCAAATCTCATATAAGCTTTTACGAGAGTTCAATCAAATATGCAAATTTTCAATCAAATCTGAAAATCAAATCTAATAACAAACAAAACAATCAATCAAGAGTTCAAGTTCAAGACATGTCAACAATCAAATTACAAAGCAAGAAATGGAAATCTCTCACATAGACTTTTACAAAACAAATCAAGTCAAATTAAGTACAAACTTCAAAGCAAGAAATGGAAATATTAAATGGCATGTCCCTTTCCCATTGGATCTACACCAAATGTGTTTGTACTAGTGGCAGCAAATGTGTTTGTACTGGTGGCAGCAGCTTCAGTACTTGCATATTCTGCAAAAAACAAATCCACACATGTTCAACACTCTCAAATTAAAAATAAATGCAACATTATAAACTTTATAAAGTAATAATTAATAAACATAGTAAACATACCTAATTCAACACTCTCATAAAACTCATATTCTTCAGGAGTAGGTTCATCTTCTAAATTTGTGCAAATGTCATCTCCCTTCAACCAATTTTGCATACATATCAATGCCTCCACTGATCTAGGAGTTAATGAACTCCTAAATGCATCAATTACTCTTCCCCCAGTGCTAAAACAACTCTCAGATGCCACTGTTGATACTTGAATGGCAAGAATATCCTTTGCAATAGCTGCCAACACAGGGTACTTAGGACCATTGAGCTTCCACCACAACAAGATGTCAAAAAAGACCTCTTTGGTTGTTAATTCCAAAGGATCATGCAAGTAGGTATCCACTTCATGTGCAACCACAGCCTCTTCACTCTCTTCCACCACCTTTATCCAATCATCCATTATATCATCAACATCTTCTGAACTTGCATTCACTGTCTGTGCAGCAGAATTCACATTTCCACCTCTCATGTGAATTCCACCATCCAATCTAGGTGCATATTCTTCATACATAGACATCAACACCTCCTTTATCGTTGTGGTTTTTTTTTCCACTTCTGCATCATCAAACTTCTCCTTCTTAAACAGATGTGTCACATGCCTAAGCTTGAATCTAGGGTCCAAAACAATAGCAACAACCAACAGCACATTCATATCTTCAAATTTGACAAAGTACTTGTTATATTTTTCTCTCATTTTGCTTGCCATATCAATCAACACTTTTTCTGCTTCTGAACCAGTGGCCATCTCAGGTAACACAAACAATTTATCAATCTCTTTTTCTATTGCTAAAATAGAATGAAAAGCTTTGTTGACAGTGGGGTGCAAAGATGCACTCACCTTCAGTGTGACCTCATAAAAAACCCTCAAGAACTTCACAAAAACAGTAGCATTCTCCCAATCATCTTCACTTGGTGGTCCAGCCCTAATATGCTTAGTATTGCTCACAATCACACCATCCTCATCAACTTCATGTTCTGGTTCCTTGAAGTAAGCCAAGAAAGGGCTGTCCTCATCCTCCCCCATTCTTACAAAAGCCTTTTTATATTTTAAGGCTGAATCCAACATTATAAATGTCGAATTCCACCTTGTGGGGACATCCATGCAAACCATACCATTGAGGGAGAGTCCCTCTGCTTCCACACATGTTTTAAAAAACTCCAATCTTTGAGGAGAAGACCTAACATACCTAACTGCATTTCTAATGGCCAAAATAGACTTAGAAAGCCTCTTCAAACCACTAACTACAATTAAGTTTGTGATATGAGCAAGACATCTCACATGTAGGTACTTCCCTTGCAAAACAGGTTCTGCTTTCGCCCTTCTATTCAACTTTGACCTAACCCAATTTATAGCAACTTTATTAGCAGATGCATTATCCACAGTTATAGCCAAAACCTTTTCTATCCCCCACTCAAGTAAACAATTTTCAATGAGCTTCCCTATTGTTGAACCTTGGTGATTTGAAATCACACAAAAGTTCAAAACCCTCTTGTGCATTTTCCACTCAGAATCAATGAAATGGGCAGTTAACACCATATAATTACAGTTTTGGACACTAGTCCAAGTATCAGTAGTGAGGCAAACCCTAGTTTCCCTTCTTCAACTTCAACCTTTGCTCATCATACATTTTCAGAAATTGTCTTACAATTGTTCTCCTGCTAGGAACATTGAACAAAGGGCAAGCAACACTGCAAAATTTCCTAAAGCCCTTCTTCTCTACAAAACTGAATGGAAGCTCATCTATAATAATCATCTCAGCACAAGCTTCCAAAACATCAGTCTGCACAAACCCCCTGGCTACAAGCTTGTTACCTTGACTCTTATCACCACTAATTATCTTTTGGGTTTTGTCAACATTTGCAGGGTAATATCTGCAATACTTTCTAATGTGGTTAAGCATTCCACTTGTCCCATTTTTCCCACTATCCACAGCATAATCTCCTAAAGGACCTTTAGGACAATAGACGCATTTTGCTCTCTTATGAACCACTTCAACTTCTATAATCTTCCCTGTTGCATCTTTCTTTTTTTCATGTTTCTTCTCCTCATATGTAATAAAGTGATCCCAAACCCAACTACGTTTAACACCTCTAGGTTTAGTTTCTGAGTTGATTTCACTTACTGAGTCATCATCATCATCTTCAGTTTGAGTTTGAGGTGGCACTGGTAGTACTTCTCCTTCTGCAAATTGGGTTGGATATGGTGCATATTGTGTTGGTGGTGGTGCTATCTCAAATGATGGTGAGGTTCCTGTTGAAGAAGCAATATATCCAGACTGAATGCAGAGAACAGAAGTATCAGATGGATATTATTAATAAATTCATAGTTACAAGCTTAGCAAAAGCAGTAATAATAGTAAAAACAAGTTTCGGGGCCTCTTACCATTCCAAATTCCTAATTGGGGCTTCGGGCTACGTTGGAGAGCTGCAGATGCAAGCATAATATACCTGCAAAGCTGCATCAAATAACAGTCACAAAAAAACAGAAGTATCAGATATGTTCTGTTATGTGACTGTCACAAAAAAAACTGTCTATTTAATATTTTAGGAGATCAAACATATTAATTTGAACACGAAGTATCAGATATGCACATGGTTTCTGTACATTAATATCAGATGTGTTTGAAGTATCAGAAACCATGTACAGAAACATATTAATGTTTAAAAAAAAAAAAAGAGGTATCATATATGTTTGAAGTATCAGATATGGGTTTGGGGTGATGAATTAGGAGGTGGGTTATTATAGAAAAGGGAAACGGAGTGGCCCAACTTACAAGTGTTGTATTACTTGTTTAAGAAAAAGAAGATAATAATGTAAAAGGGACAGGTAGTTGTGCCTGAAATCTGAGCAGAGCACAGCAAGTGTTTTTGGCAAATGCTACGGAATTGTGTGTTGAATTGAAATGGTGTGTTCTTCTTGGACAATGGACACTGACAATGGAGATGGTCTTGAATCTATTTAATATTTTTCTTTAAGAACAAATCCCACTCAACTTCTTTAAGAACAGAACAGAAGTATCAGATTCAGATATATATATATATATACATAAACTGACCGTAGCCTAGCCCACTGCCCATATGCATGTCAATAATTCATGTCTTCCCAAAATCAAAACCAATCCATCCTAAATAATAAGAGAATTTATACCATATGGAATTAATAGATTCATGTCTTCCCAAAATCAAAACAATTTCTCAAATTTGAAAACAAATAATTTCAAACCAAAACAAGTTTCCATATATTATGAATACCTGAGAATCTGAGATCGGACTGAAATTGGTAGCAGAGGGTAATAGGCTTGAAGAAGAAGATCCCACAGAAATTCGGAGAAGCACGTTTGATGTCAAACAGAGAGAGATGGTTATTAGGGTTCGATTCGACTTCGACACAGAGATGTTTGGTTATTAGGGTTCCACTTCAAGAGAGAGAGAGAGAGAGAGAGAGAGAGAGAGAGGAG